CGGACCCGGTTCCTCGAGTATCTTTGCCTGTCGGATCCGACCGACCGCTTTGCTTCCCGCTATCTGCTTCACGAAAAATCGTCAAGTACCGCGTCAAAGGACTTTCTCTCGGAGCGCTTTTTTCCCTCGTCGTGCACGCGGCTTTGCGCAAGCTCCCGCGTCACTTTTGTCCGCCCGAGAACACCGTCGAGTGGCGAGGAAAAGTTGCGGTAATTACGCGCAGGCCGCTAGCAATTCACTCGGTTGCGACGAAAGAAAATTTTTATCGCTACTCGCGGCCCGCCGGAACGATGACGCGCGGTGGATAGGCGCGGGAAATTTCGTGGACTCCGATGGAAACGATGAGAATCCAGGAATCGAATACACGTTGTAGGTACGAGAGAGTAAAAAGAGGAAACGTGGTGGTTTCGCCGTGGCAGACAGCCGAGAATTAAACTGCCAAGTAAACGACCGACTCCTTTCTCCTCGTTTTTCTCTCCGGGTTTCGCGGTCCCCGAATGGTTTCCGGTACGAAGGATGATGTGCACGCCGCGCCGGGAAAAGGACGCGGTTTTGAAAATGGCCGCTGCCGCGGCCTGATAAGAAGGACGTTCCTCGCGCTGTCCGAGGGGCTCCCTCGACAAATGGCCCGTCACGATTCTCGTAAATCAAGGCTCAGAGAGAGCCCCGACTTTCCCGAGCTAGATTCCAAGTCCTTGTTTCGCTACGCTCACTCTCCCTTTCTCGCTCGCTGTCACTACGTAGAAGGAATAATCCGCTTAACGGATGCAACGCCACCGGGGGAAAGTTTCTTCGGGAAATTAGCGCGCCTAGTCGTCCTTGTTCATCCTTCGCGATCCGGCTTCGATGTTGTTCCGCTAATTATCGGGGATTAACGAGATCTACTTCTTCTTTTTTTAAACGAACGATAATTCTTACGTATTTTTGGAATCGATAGTATACAGCAAGTAATTTAAGTTTCTATACATAAATAAGTGTTCAATATTTAGGTTTAACGAATCAAACGAAGATCTCACGATTAGATTTATCTAAAGGATGTAAAGTAAGGAGAAGGACTTTGTCTAGAATTCTTTTTAGGGACCTCGTCGCGCTCCCGAAACGATTATACGGTAACTCGTCAGCGTTTGCTTTAAACGCGAGAATGGTTCTGTACGCGTTTCGCGCGAGACTCGCGTTTTTCACTTACGTACCGATATGCCGCGCCGGTAGGAGTCATAGGCACGAGGTCGGCCGCGAGAGGTTGGCTGGTACGTATGTACATTGAGGGAATCACACAGGGCGAGAGCGCAGAACTCGCTGTCAGCACCCTCGTTAGCCGAGGCTGCGAGCCAACGAGTGGTTCGAGCTCGTTCCGTAACGATAATGGAACCCTTTGAGGATCGTCGAGTGCAGTGCGCGGACACGCCGACACGGCGTACGTACCTCCGTACGGAGCTAGGTAGGTAGGTAGACAGGGTCGCCGGGTTACACGACTATTTCATCCGGAAGGCTAGAGTTACTAGTCCCAGGTATACGCGCGCCGGCACAGACGAGAAATAGCACGGAGAAAAAGGAAGGGTGAGGTCGGGGATAGTACACGGGGGGAGGAAGGTCGGGTTGCCGTTACGCGAGAAATCAGTACAGAGGAGAAATTTTAAATATTTGAATTAACCCCTTCCGGCGGTGTCTGGTGGTGGCCCCGTATACCTGGGTGGGTTCCTCTACTATTATCTTACTCTCTCCTTCTCTTTTGCATCTGGCACGTATCCGTGGATATAATATAATGTTTCCCCCGGCGCCGCCTGCCAGCTCCTCTATCCATGTAAAATTATGTTAATGGATAATCCTGGGAGAGGGGGATCCGCGATTTCCAGGTAGTTTGGAAAGAAGCAGAGGTGAACAGGCAGAGGGGCGTCCCTGTCGAATATGCACGCTTCTTTCTTTCTCTTCTCGTCGCTACTTTTTCCCGTTCCGCTCGCTTTCTCTTCGTCGCACGCGAGGACCCCTCCAATCCTTCCGCTCGCGGAACTAGGTCGGATCGCATAGGTAGCTCGCCGTGTCTGTTGCACACGCGTGGAAAACGCGCCCATGGGACGCCGGAACGACAGATGGGGTTAAAAAATCGGTGAAGAGGATTAGGGATGCGCCGAACTTGCATTATCGATTTTGTTCCCGAATAGGCGCTAGCGCGGTTACGTTCTCTCGCTGAATTTTCATTTCGGTTAATCCCGAGGACCCTTCTTTTTTTCCCGCTTCCTTTCTCTGTTCAGCCGACAGACTCGAAACCGCGGAATGAAAGACTTCTTACGACAGGCCTGCTCTCTATTCCCGTCTCCGATAGAGGATCGATCGATTTCAGTCCTCCCAGAAGCTCTGTGCCTCTCGCGAACAGACAACTATCGTATTGAAAAATTGTTTTTGTCTACTACACTTGTCGCTAATTGAAAGCGCGCGACTTCGTAGAGGGAGTTGTAGAAAATAATTAATTAGACGCGAGTAACAGGTGCAACTTTTAATCGGGCCACTCGACACAATCAGACAGCGGAAGTTAAGTGTTACCCCATCGTTGAGAGCCGGGTATGAGTGTCCCTGATATAGATTAGCCGCAGCAAAGTGAATCCACTCGAGGCAATTCGGAATCAACCATCCCTTTCGATGGGCGCGTTAGCCAAAAAAAAAAACGAAAAGCGAAAAAGGGACAGAGAACTTGTTCCCGATCACAATGAAGATCTCGATCAGTTACAAGGATATCCTCTGGCTGGGAAGTCGCGAGAACGTCTATCTAGCTCGTCAGAGATTTCGGATAATTCTGAGAAGCGTCCAACCGAACTTGAGGGTTCTAGAGATGCCCGAGATAAGGTATTCAAAGCGTTTCGAGTATTTAAGGGTGAGTTCGCGTGTTATTCTACCTACCCCCCGTCCACGGGTAAAATATTCCGCCATATGATTGTTGGATTCAGAGAGTGCTAAACATGGCGCGCGTTGCTATGCGAAATATCGTGCCTGGCCATTTCTGTGGTCACTACTTGCGCCGGGGGTCGGTATACGTGCTCTTTCGATCAAACTTCTTTGTTTATTCGAATATCTCATCATTTCTCCGAAGTCATTTTTCTTCGTCAATCAGAAATTGATTTAATTACGTGAAGAAGTTTATACTTATCAGAATCGAATTCTCGGGAAGAAATAACTTCCTCTGGTATCTTGATAATTTATACTACAGCCAAGTTGTCGTTCACATCGAAGATATTTCGGATATCTACCTAAAAAGCTAATCACATAACGTGATTGTCATATCCTGCGGTAATAATGACTGCTTCTCCTTCCGAACCAACTTCTCTTTTTATGATCTTAAAAGCATCAGCGTCTTTGAATTCATAACGAGCTTACGAACAGGAACATTAACGACTCAATTACCGCAACGAGTTCTGGATAAAACTGTTTCGTTTACGAGGTAATCTCGTAGATTTCTCGTGTTAGAAGATCCGATCATCAGTCAGGGAAATTATATTAGCATGACGAAAACAACCTGCGATCGCGCGATTAAAATCGGCTTCGACCTGACGTCGTGATTGAGAGAAAAATGTGTGACTAGCTTGGGGTTGGTCACGAAACGGATATCGCTGGTTTAGCGGTGCTGTTTGTGTTCTTTGTCGTCAATTTCTCGGTCCCCGCCCTGTTTTGGGTGTCGGTTTTCACGTTTTTTCACCCAAAACCACCCCTGGCCCATTGTGGCCCCCGACACTTTTTTTCTCAAAAGCGCGTAATCCGGCACGAGGGGTGAATTCAAGCACTTTCTACTTTTATCGTTGTTGTGAAGCAGGTTCGCTGCTGCAGGTACACAATCGCGTCAATAACAAACCTGATTTAATGCCACTTCAAGCCAAATTTAATACTAGTTTATCGAGAAGTCTTTTTAGTTGAGTGCTCATTAAACGAACTCATTTCAACCCCTATAAATTAGATTATTTATACATTCTGGAATGTTTTCTCCTTATAGTTTTATACAGTTTTCTCATGTCGATTTGTGAGAATTGTGATGAGTGATTAAAAAAATAATTAGAAATGAGATTAGTCATAGGAGGAAGGGTTGAAGGGAAACCGTTAGATTTTTTCATGAGGTTATCTGCACAGGAGACTGAAAAACGCGCCAGGTGACGAAAACGTGAATCGGTTTCGCTTTTCATTCAGGAAATTGGAAAACGTCATCTGGCGCCTCCCAAACGGCCAGCAACCCTTTACCGAATTGTGCCACCGTGTCTACGAGCCCTCGCAGCAGGGTAGAAATAAATTAAATTGATTTTTCCCGTCCAGCTACCTTCCATGGCGGCCTTTATTCTAGTTTGTGTTATATTGGGCGTTAACGTCGCGTTATGTTCTCTCATTCCCAAATATTTGAAAAAACGAGTATTCTACTTCTTCAAATAATTACAAAATAAGTTTTTAGGTATCCAGATTTTTTGGAAGGATCCTGTCTCATCTTTTCAACATTATTTAGAGTCGTACGTATTTCCCAGCGGTCTCGCGTCTCTCACGTGGAAACTGTTTCGTCGGCGTAACATTTACATGCACGCGTCCCACTCTCTTCCCCTGCGAAAAGTTCACGCACACGCGTACGCGCGATCGCATCGTTCCGAGCCCGTAGGCCAGAAACATCGGTTCCTTTTCGCGTATTTGCATCTCAGGTAGTGACACGCACACGTTTTCGGGGTAACCCTAACTCACATACGCTTGGTTAACTGGCATTTGCATCCCAGGTAGCTCGGGCCTCCGCGTTCGATTCTCTTCGAATGAATCAAGTAAAGGAGAGAGAGGTATAAAAAAAAATCGTATTGCATAATAGGGGGTCCTGCTACGAAACCCTTTTCCTACCTGATCCCCCTCTCTGCATCGCAAAGGTCGCCTCAGGTAAGATTTTCGAGGTCCTATCACACCTCTTATGAGAAGCGAGATCTTTCGACGGAGCTCAGTCACGTTTCACGCTCACAGAAGATACGATCGTGTTTTGTGGTTGATATACCTTTCTGTCCTCGAACTAGACACAATTTGGGATAGTTTCATTCACTGATAACAGGAGTACGAATTACGAAAAGTGTGCAACTGGTATCAGTACCGTGAAAATAAATTTGATTAGATCAAGCAGAAGTTATGCTTTAAATTGGGTAATTTGTAATCTAGAATTTCCATAAATCCTACAATTATTCTAGTGCATGAAAACAAAGTCTGAATTGGTAGTCGACGATCTTGTCTTTAACAGAGAAAGTAAATTCTTCAATGAGAGAGCGCGCGATCGGGGATTGAAACTTTCCTTCGGAGTTACTGGGGGAAAATAATTTCTATTTCGAGGACGCAAGGTCAACTTTTCATCAGAGAGGTGGTACTCTCTCCTCAAATACTTGGCGAACAACTTCCTGGGCGCCGGACAAGGTATCCGGCCGTTGGTGGGAGGCTCTCGGTACCATAAAAATCTGCGCTAACACCTGGTAAGTGCGAATCGCGATTTCATGCTCTCTAAAAATCCGGATTCGTGTAATACCCGGCAATTTGGTAGAATAACGAAAGGCGCGAGGAGGAATACGACGCAAACCGCGTCACGGGAGATAAACGGCGCAATAATTTATGGTCGTGCAGGTTGTGTTCTAGAGTCTCCGGTTGAATACAATCAATTTAACGACGAGATTTGCTCGGTCTAATTAAGCGCGACGCGTTCCTTTGAGCCTCGTTGGACATCTACAGAGAGACGTGGGTTTTTTCTCTCTCTCTCCCTCTCTCTGTCTCCCCTCTCTTTTCTTTTTTTTCTAACAGCGTCGAAATCAACCAGCGAGCTTTTAATCCGACGTGACGCCGCGTTGCGGATCGAACGGATTCAAGTGACGGATCAATGACGAGTGTCTAATTAACGACCGCGTTCCTCGGCATCCGGCTTGCCTCGACTAATTGACCGTTCGTCTCCGTTGCGAACGCGACGACCTTACTAATCAATATTCACCGAGTGGCGTAAGGGGACAGACGAGGACGGAAAGAAAACGGACGGGGGCGAGACGGAACGGGCGCTGAACGCCGCGAGAGAAGGAAGATAGAGAGAGGAGACGAGGAAAAAATGTCGAGGGTGCACTCTCCGGTTCCGTTCGCGTGTAGGTGCGAGGGTGCACATTAGTCGTTGCGTGTGTACACGTACGCGACCGTGTATACGTGTCCAGAGATAGGTTGGGAGTACGTGTGCGAGTGTCTGAACGAGAATTCTAGTGGGTGCTCGTGCTTGGTCAGCACTCAAGGGGTGAGGTCACCCTATGGTCCAGCTGGCCAATGGGACGAGAGCATTCTTTTTTTATCAATACTGTGTGTGCTTGGGGAGGTCGGACCAGGGGGATCAAGTAAAATGGCGGGTAATACCCCCTGCACAGGGTATCATGCGTGTAACGTATTTTTTTCTGGATAATAGTTGAACCCTCGTTTATCTTGCTTGTCTAAAAAATTTCATTATTTTTTCACACAAGCACATTAAGTTTGCTTTCTACAGACAAACAGATTATTTCGTTCAAATCAATAGGACACTTCTGTCTTCTGTGAAAATTAGTACGGATTTGGGGTAACGGATTACGTGGTAAGAAAAGAAACTGTGTGTAAAAATGAAGCTGAACTCCTGTGAGGTGGTGAGGCAGGCCGACCGGTCGATTGACCTCTTCGGCGTGAGCGACGAACGAGCCTTTCCAAAGATGAAAAAGAGATAGAAATTGTTAGGCTAAGAGTTTCCGGTGTCGGAGTAACCTTAAGGTGATTTGATTCCGTAGATAGGCGAGGCGTTCCGCATTATCTGGCATCGTTATTTCCGGCCGGGGCCGTTCGATTCACGTCCGGCCTTCTTCGCGAAATGAGAGCCCTATAACAAAAGTGTGGGTAACCCCCGGGAGTCGCGACGCCGTTGAACACGGATTATCGGCTTTGCACCACGAAGTTCCGCGGTTCTCGACTCGAACTTTGTTCCCCGTTAAAATTGAGACGTCCGGGCTGACATTTATCGGACATCGCCGATTCTCTAGAATATTTTAATCCCTTATTCCCGACGCGAGTAAATATCACTATGAATATTTGTCTTATCTTCTCATATTCTTGCATCCAAACAGAATTTTACCTCGCGTCTGGGGGAATATTGTCCGAGAAAATAGAGCAAAGGGTAAAACAAATGTTTCCGCTGAAGAATCCTGTACGAGCGATTATTCTACATTGGGGAAGCGCCTTTAGCCATTTTTAGATAATATTAGTATAGTGCTCTTTCTGGAACTCGTAATTATGCGCGATTTTATGCATATATCATTACGTCTACCGCTTCTTTGCGAGGGGTTGGCGTGTGCCGGCCGGTTTTTGACCCGGAAGCAGTCCACGAAGACTGCGCTGACCTCCCCAGACCTTAAAAACCCCTTAGACGTGCCCTGAAAGCAACAAGAAAACGAGTTTTGACATCTCTTGACCACGTGCCAACACCTTCTTTCGACACGCTGCCTTATCCTGGCTCGATGCGCATAGAAGTTATATACGCAGTGTCTTAAAAAAGATTGTAATATATCATGAAAACAATTAGATACAAATTTTCATTTCTCTATCATGATTGTATTTATTATTGACGATCATTGAGAAATAAGAAATTAGATTGTTTAGTAATTAGATTTAAAAACATAATAGTTGAAAATGTAATTCTGTCAATACGGAAAGTAGTATTCGCAAGTTCGAAGGGTAACGTTAGATCCTTCATGATTCATCTTCACGCGTCTTCTTCCATGTCAAAGGGAGCTACAGTTCTTCCGTTTATCTTCTTTCCTTTCTAACACAATTCGCTCTCATTATCGTCGTTGCGAAACAACGCCTGTTTTCTTGTGTGAATAACAAATCGCAATCCGGCCGAGTATAAGTAGGCCCTTCTCCGTGACACTGTTCTCCTTCACCGGCATCTCCCGAAAATTTCTCTTCGCTTTTACTCGCCGCGAGAGAGGGTCGTCCATGGTATAAAGGACGATTCCGAATAGTGCGGCACAAAACATCACTTAGAGAAGCCCCGCTCTCGCAGGGCAAACACGCTAATGGAGCCTCCCACAGCGTATAGGTATACAAGCGAGTTTCTTTTCGCGCCTAACCGACACACCGATACTCCTTTCTTCGACGCCTCCTTCACCTCACGCGGCCGTTTCCGCGTAACAGCATTTTCGAAAATATATATACTCACTCGGGATACTCGCGATGTTTTGACGGGCGGACGCGTTTTCTGTCGGGGACACCTCGGAGCCGTCTCGCGAAGAATAATATCTGGAGCGAGAGCGAAGAGTTTCTGAAAATATCGCCGCGATCGGCGATGGGAAATTATTTGTTCGACCGGTTGAATAATTTTTACTGTCGACGATGATAAGACTTGATCCATCATCAATTGCCAGTTGATGAATTGAGTCCGGCAATGGATAAGTAATTTAATAATTTAAGCTCAATTTCAATTTTGATCGAATTAAATTTGTTTTCGACATCTATTTAAGTATTCTTCATCGATTATACGTCCATTAAATTTTAATTTACTTAAAGTAAGTCCTCGTACTAGTTTCCTCGTATAAAATCTTACATTCGTTAGTGCAACAACTCTTGCCAGTAACAATGCGATGTAGCTCTTCGCGAAAGAACTCAGTAATAGGATCTGAAATAAAGACGGACCGTGTAAGAGTGGGCAATTTTGCGATATCAAAGCGTTCCATGACGGAGGATGGCCAAAAAGTCATCGTCGAAATATTGGCGCTGTAAAAAAAAAGCAATGATGGAAGAAAGGGTTAGATAGAGCGTGAGGTATGCCATCGCGTGTACACGGGGGTGGATAGGGGTTTCATGTCGTTCCACGAAAGGACCGGGTAGGATACATAACTCGTCCCTCGACACGACATACATACATATATACACGTTCGTCTATGTACATGAGTATGTACAGGTAGGTGTCCTCAGTTGTGTGAACGTCTGTCCCACGCGCAGCGACCTCGTCGTAGATCAAAACGATGTACCAATTTCGCGGGATACGGTTACGCCGAGATCAAAAAGGAGAAGCGGAAGAGAGGGGAGAAGAAGAAGAAACGAAGAAAGGAACAAAAAGGTGGAGATGAAAAGAAACGAAGGAGAAATAAATAGAGAAAGGGAAAGAGAGGACAGAGGCACGTCCCGCGTATATCTGAATTTAAATTTCGAATTCTACGTTGGCATATGGTCCCGCGGGACGCGGGAGTCCCCTGGTCAGCCATCGGATGCAGTTTTCGGTCTCGACGTCCTTCAATTTTTGAACAGGATCGGCCGAAGGTGTCCCGCGGGACGTGAACGGGAAGACCTTACCCCGGCGCCGTATACCCATATCCGGGAAACGGTGGCTCCACCCTCGTCGCTGTAAATTCCGAATAACCCCGTAAAGATACATCGCGTAGTCGCCATTTTCGAGTTATTTACGAGGAAACCGTGTCGCGCGTCACTCCACCGCCCGGCACCATCGACGGCGATTGACGTGAAATAACCGTGAAGGTATCAAGTAAACTGTGAAACGCGAAGAGAATTAGAGAGCGTAAAAGCGTCTCGACGTTTTCCGCTCCCCAAAGATAGTCTAGACGAAAAATTCTCTCGCATAATCGCTCGGTTTGCGCGATACGTGCGAGATAAGATTCTCACGTTTTTCACGAGGGTCGATCGCATCGTTTCTCTCATCATTTAACAGACTGGAAGTCTCTTCGTTTCCTTCCGAAGTGGTTACCTCGTAAATCTTGACTGCCTGCAACTCTTTCCGGATATACCGATGCTTCCTTTCTTTCACCCGTCCATTGGCAGTGACAATTTCGAGGGGATCAAGACTTTCCCAAGAAGCCTGCCCTTTTCTACACTGAGAAAAAAAAAGTGTAACGCCATCCACAAGATCCCCCAATTTCGCGAACGAGAAGAGGTCGATCCAAACGTTAGGGTGCCACACGGTGGATAGTTTAAAAAAAAAAAACAGGAGAACCATCACCCCAGATATCGCAACTGACACTAAATCATTAATTTGGGCGGTCGGCTTTTTTTCTACAGGTAGCCGGGCACCCCTTTCGCTCGCGCAGGTATGCCTGCACCTTTTGTATAGCCGTTCTCTACTGAATTACGATACGAAAAAAGAACCGTGCGTTGTCGTCGTCCCTCTTTTTTCACCCCACGTCTCTCGAGCCCTCCGCCGCGTCCCCGAAAAAGGAAAACACTCCGCACTGTCATATCGGGGACTAATATATTTTTGATCGATCCGGGAATCACGAGGCCCCGTTTCCCACGAGGCGGAGACCGAACGCCAGCCGGATAGAAAGAATCGGTGTCCAAACAAACACACCCAGGAACGTGTATACCGCGTACGTGACTTACGGATCGCGTTCGAATTTTTGCGTGATCACGATGAGAATGGGTTGTGCTTTCAGAAAGAATGGGGTACGTCGAGTACGATGATGCGACTGAT